AGCAACTACTGTATTTATTTTTATTTTTGCTGATTCCTCAAATTATTTCTTCACATAACCTTAAAGTTGTAGTTGTGTTGACTATCATTGTGCATTATTATAGTGGTGAATAGTGGTAATAGGGTATAGTGAGGTGAAAAATAGCGTTCGTACCACGGACCGAAATGGTTTTGCAGCTCTCGATCGATTTAAGTTCTCGACTTCGTCTCGAACTTAAAAACTATCTCGAGCCGGCAAAACCTCATTTTCGGCCCTAGGTACGAAATATACTATTTCAACCCTCGCTCGTTCTCTAACATTGGCTTTGCCTTGGTCGTGAAACTTGAGTTTGGGTCGAAAAGAGTAATTTTATGAGTTACCTCTTAAAAGTGAGCAATATCGTTATTTGTATAAGGTTGGAAAAGAAAAAAATATTTTCTTTTTATAGACACCAAGTTGTACTTAAATTGAATGCATCATACTATTAATAACAATGAAACTAGACAAAAATAATTTCGTTCAGTGTCAAATAATTTATTGAAATATTCACTATGAAATATATCTAATACATAAAGTAAAGGCAAAGTTATATTGCTTCGAATTGGCATTTGTATTCAGTATCCCTATTAGCGATTTAATCATTATAACACATTTTCTTCAGGCCTTTTCTATTACGAACAAGAATCTCCGTCTCTTTGAAAACGAACTTAACGGGAAGGGAACTTTTCTGTAGAAAGAAGATGTAAACTTGAAGCAATATTTTCAAAGAGATCGCCGCTCTTTGTAAACGAAGCACGTCCCAAGCAGAGACAACAAGATAATATATTTTTCGATTCTCAGTCGCAGTCGCCGACGCCGAAAACCACTTTACATGGTGGCTAGTTTCGTCCCGACTTTGAAACTCTCACAACTGCACAGCATTTAGGAAATAAAAGTATTTAGCAGGAGAACAATTTAATGAACTGCAAAACCATTCAAATGCAATTTATGGTTTAAATGCTAACCACAACGGTTTTACTGAGGGGAATGTCTAGGTAACATAGGCCAATGTTAAACCTGATACTGTACTAAGCTTTCAAAATAGCTAGGAATTCTTGTTAAATCTCAGGATATTCAAGGACAACTTAAACTTTAATAAAATAGTATATTGACAACATGTATTTGTTAATTTGTCTTGTGTAAAAATATATTCAGTAGATTTATTTGTTTAGAGGAATTTGATTTTAACTTGGCCTATAATGTTATTAGGGAAGATTTTTAATAAAAGACAAATGTGTGAAATTGCGATAAAATTTCAAACACTAATTTAGGAGAATTTATTATGTTCAGTTGTACGTTAGAAATTATGTTTGTTAAAATTCCATGTTAACTATCTTGGTTAGTATTTTTCAGATGTATTTTGTATCTTGTGGCTCTATCAAGGCATAAAAAATAATACTGCTGACAAAAATAAAATAAAAACCATTTGATCTTATAAGGGAGAACACCAGAGCAATTAAGCATTAATTGTCACATTCTATTTTCTTTAAAATAATAGCAGCACTGAAAGAGCAAATAACTCTTCAGACTAAGAAGTATTTCGCGACTGACACTAAATCTCACAATGTGATTGATCATAACACAGCTTACCCTCTAACAGCCCGGCCCGCTGGTAAGTGTATTGCCTCGAGAGCCATCGACATATTTCTACTTAATATAACCATCAAAACTGTAAAACAAAATGTTGACCGAGAATAGTTTTAAATGACAAACCCTAATTATATGTTCTCCTCATTACATTTAGTATTATTATAAAAAAATTAAATGCTTTAATATCCTTCTTCAAACATACATTACCTGAAAAATGGTACAACACCAAATGCTATAAAAACTACCGTTCAAAAGTTTTTGTAATATTTTTACTTTACCCTTAAAATAACAGTCACTTCTACCACTTACCCATTATAAGGGTTGTTGTGCTTTTTTAAATAAAGTAGTGAGTTTGCTGATACCTATTTTATTCACCTATCCATTTCCAGTTGCACCTAGTGACAGAAGAAGTGGTAGTAAATCACACAATAATTGACCATAAACATTTGATGAGGTCTTGTTACAGACTTGACGTAGCTGAAGACAGGCAGCAGGTGGCCAGCATGTGCTATTGACCGAGATAAATGGACGATAAACTCGCGATTGATACGCTCTTGTTGCTGTTATGAAGCTGTTAACAGCCGCGCCTGCTGCTGACAAATGCAACTTGTTTATTTTTTTTGCAGGGGAAAAAGTGAAAAGCTAAGGATTGTTTTTAAACGTATAAACAATCAACATGTAAGTAGATTAATACTAGGCACTTACTTGTAAGAATAGTAGAATAGTATATTTCATCACTATGACGTATATTTCATAACTAGATTAGAAAGTGAGTCATTACATATTTGAGACCATGTTTGAAGTGCGAGATTTATTGAGCACTTTAAATGCTCGAAAATATGTATGGACCCACTTTCACTCGTGTTTTGAAAGTTAATTTTCGCTACACTACAGAAAGGTATGCCTAATTTTAATTTACCTTTGCATGGTTTGCTGTTTGGACTTGCAGTTTTGTCTGGTTTGTTTTACTTTTTATATTTAGTTTTATTGCATTTTTATTGTACTTTGACGTAGCCTATTGTACAAACTTAATGGCCTAATAAAATCTTTGAATCTACACTACAAAGACTAATTATTTTCTTGAAAAAAAATTCATAGCATTTTTCATGTAAGTCCTGTAGCTTAAATTTAAAATTAATATTTACTTTGGTTGTACAGTTTTGGTAGTTGAAAATTAAAACAATTGAAAAAAAAACTATTGCAAATCTTTTTTTGTTTACGTCGGCAAAATCCAAAAAAGATAGTAAACATAACTTTCGCATAGGAAACATTATTTTGTCGTAGTAAACAATGTAATGATGAATTAATTTTCGCAGGTGATAAACATGAAACGAAAACAGGTCATTTCACAGTAGTGTAGCGAAAATTGACTCTTTTTGACCCGAGCTTAAGTTTCAGATTCGGAAAATGAGCAAGGTTTAAAAATATACTTTTTTCCCTGTGATTCGTCGTATTGCATAATTAATTAAAAAACTGAGCTAGTAAAAGAAAATACATTTCATGTAAAGATAACCTCTCAAAACGATTTTCAGCTGTTTTCAATAATTCTGCTAATGTTAATAAGCAGCTGTTTAGTAAGTGATTAAATAATTTCGTATATTACGATTGTGTACATTATACCATCGATATGTCGAACTATTGAAAAGAATGTAACAATAAGAAAAACATAACCTAATCAATCGATAATGACGATCCATGCGGTTTCTTGCAATCGAAATTTACAACAGTTGACTTTTACTCCCTGGGGACTAAAAAGGCGATTACTCCCTAGGGAGTAAAATACCTAATTTAACTCGTAACGCATGCCGTTAAAAACGGCTGTTTTTGCCTCAGTATGACGTAAGACGTTAGTTATGTGTTTTAATATTATTTCATGGTATTTACACCAATGGAAATTTACAAGGAAGAAACTCTAATACAGTGAATGTAGTACATATTTCCACAGGTTTTTGTATATGCCGTGAATCGAACCCGCCCTTCTCGCACCAAAGTCCAATGACTAACCTGTTAGCTAAACACACCCATTCAGTATCCTTACTTTTTTACTTTGTTGGAGGAATAGTCTGTATTATAATTTTATCAAATTTTTTATTGCAACTAAAGGACCTAATTTTAATTTAATTTGACATTCTATTATTTGTGTCTTGTGAGTTCCAACGGCCAACAACTTTGCTTAATGTTTACCAATGTGAATACACCTAATAGACTAATTAAATATACACTTAAGAGTCTTTTTCCTTTTTCAATCATCAAGTGAAGGATGAAGGATGAAGGATCGCTGCCAGACGCGTCTGATAAACCGCTCTTTACCATCTGGTGTTGTAATTTAAGCGCAGCCACAGTTGTGTTTTATTATGAGAGTAGCATCGGTCCCAGCTTCATAGGATTCAGTTAATACTTAAGAGAAATTCCAGCTGGCTTTAATACGTCTCACATCTACCAAAGCTCACTATTGGTAAATATAGAAATGAATATTTCATAGTTATTACCTCAAAAACGAATTTAATCAAGTTACACTTAGAGTGCAATCATAATCAATCAAAATTGAGGAATATTAATAATTAAGTATAACGCAATAAATTGTTAAAGTGGATGGACAACCAAATTTTTTTTAAGTAATGTAAAAAAATAGTTTCTGCAAGATGAAATTAAATGTCCAAACAATATCTGCATTTTTGTTTGACCTATTTATTCAACACCTTTAAACACAATCAAAATAGTAACCAGCTTAAAGTGACAATATTTTTGTACATCGTTCACCTTTGCAAGTTATCTCTTAAGCTATTTACTATTGTTTTACTATTGCATGCGTACAACCGTTACCATTATTTTGAAGTAACAAGTTTCACTCAACCAACATAAAAATGAATTGAATGAAACTCAAAAATATTCTGATAACTATGCAATAATATTTGTATTTTTCTTTTAAAATATGTAACTAAAAACTAACTGTAACTAAAATATGTTACTCTTCTATTACTCAGAATCGCAACAGCAGTTTTCGCTACATTAAAAAAAAAATTAGTACTACGTAATATTGAAATAATTTTATCGAGCATCCCGTTTATTTGCAAAACTTTGCTTTTAACTTATTACTACTTTTTAAAGTGCGAGTGTAAAACATTTAATTTAAAAACAATTATTCAAGCCTTAACTAGCAACGAACTTTACCAACCTATTTCAGTCATTATCCTATGTCATGAATCCCCTAGTGGATCGTAAACTGATTGGAGAAGTATGCATGTTCAAAATACATTGTTTACACACTTTCGGTGTATTTGCTGTTTGTGTGTTTTGTTGTTGTTGATCAACTAGTATTAAAGCCACATTTACACATACTTTAAAAATCTTTGATTAACTTACCAAAATTCGTTAAATTGCTAAATACTCACCAGATTGTGCGACTAGTGCTGAAGCGAGTAGTACGCCAAATATGTATTGCAGAGGTATCATCCTAGCCCAGCGCTCGGTCGTTCACATTATCACCAATACGCATCTGAAAAACGAATATGTTAAAAGATCATAACGTATAATTGATTAGCCACCTACAAATATTTAGTAGATTAGAAAAACAGTGTTTATCGAACAGGGCAGGTCAGTTGTCGCGTCCTAGATTGATATGCATGTACACTGTACAGTTAAGTAGTTGATTTCACACCGGCCGCTTGCACCCTCAGAGTATGTGACCCATCCTTACGTGGTTATTACATGTTATGGTTTATGGTTATCTTTGGTCTTCAGATCTCTTGACATAAAAATGACACAGTGACTGGCAGTTGAGGTAACAAAACGCCCCATCAGACAACAGCAAGCCTGTAGACTAAACGAATTAACATTTCATTTTTTGGATATTCACAAAGACATTTTATCAAGACCGTAACCATCCGCAACAAAGCTTTAACATAGGCTCTACTAAATTATTTAAACTCTGCAAAATGATTTGGAGAGAAATTGGTAAATTTTATGTTTTGAGGGTCAAAAATAAGAAAACTAATAATTTTTATCCCATAAAAATACCCCATTATTCCCCCTTTTTTATCCCTTTGTAAGACCCCATTCCCATGGTTTAGTCATTCTGGTTCGAGAACTCGTTCGATAAAAGGAGGTTTACATGTTTGTACCATTTCATCCAATTTCATCGACATTGGATAATTTTTACTCGAGTTTTCGTGCTAACGGACATATTATAGGTATAAAAACGGATGGTGTTTTTGGACTATGGGGACATCAAAACGAAATAAGTAGTTCGGTCATGGGTCCAGCTCTTACCATGATAATAGCTTCTTTAGTAATAACTTATCCTCTATGGGTTATTCGCTAAAATGGTGCCCCTCTTCTAAACCGTTTGATAGTCAAGTTAGTCATAATAATTTTAAGCAAGATTTACTAACTGTAAACGTTAATTAAATTTAAGGCAGTCATTTTTTGTTTCATTCACACAACCACACACAGTTGTGCCATAAATCACATGCAATTCCATTATTCGGTTAATTTGGTAAACATCTTTATACACATAAAAGTAGTATATTCTCATACTGCTTAAGGTCTTAAAGTTTATCTCAGCAAATTCTTTCAGTGCATGAGCAAATTATTAAACATTATTCTTACATATTCTAAGAGTTTTATATCAATATACAAAACGTAACTAAAGTAAACGATTATCCATTAATATTAATATTTGGAAAAGTACAATAATGCATTTGGTTAATGTTATAGAGAGCTGAACAAGGCTCGAAGTGCAGGTTTATGAGGCCACAGTCTGGGTACTTCTCTGGGGAACGTTACCTAGACGTGTCTCATACCTGGACACATTTACATCGGGTTTCCTTTACCTTCCGACAAAACCATACATATCACAGTTCTGAATCTTCTTTCAATATATTTTAAACAATATAACATATAAATAGTCTACATTGATGCAAAAAGATGACTGAAGATTAGGTCAAAACAATATATTGGATTGCAGTTTCAAAACGTGTAAATGGTCGAAAGTAGTTTTGGATTTTTTCATTGACAGTTTTTGTTTCGGGCGATTTTTACTTTTTCACGTTAAAACAATTTTACTAAGATTGGAACAATTCAACACATTATTTTGATGTGTTTTTTATGTTCTCAATACTCAATTTTTGAACTCAGAAAATAATTTTACTGTCAAGGTATTAAATTCATAATTTAAGCAATTATTTTTCTCTAACAAGTTCAACTTTTGGCAGAATTTATTTTGATAATTTTTTTAGATTAAATGATACATCAGCGATTGTGGGTACTACTGGTGTTATGTTGATGATAGTTAAAAATTATGTGCATGTTTTTTCATGCATGACAGATTCAAAATTCGTCAAAAATCTTCTGATCTACAATGGATTCTTATCTACGGGAAACCCTTAGCTGTTGATTTCACTGGTCTCCTTATTACAAACACTTATCCATCCTCCTACATTCTCAAGCCTAAATTTCTATTTAACATTACATTCCTTGTGAAAAGAATTTTTTGAGCAAATAGTATCTCGGGCGCCACACGTTATAGAAATTGGCGTCACGTAAGACAGGATATCGGAAAACGATTCAATACAACACAACATTCTGTGTCCGCGAGGCGTCCCTATACAGCGTGTATCGTGGATACTAGCAAGCAAACACTGTGTGTGTCCCTGCACAATATACTTATTTATTTCCAATGGATGGCTCCAATCACAATAATGCATACATAGTTAACAGTCTTATGGCAGAAGATGCAATTGCTTGATACAACAACTAGAGTATACATTGTCGTAACTAAGTTTATTCCAAGAATAAACCTTGTACAGGGTGAATAAAAGTCAAACCCCCATTTAATATTTGTCTAAGTAAATAATTTATAAAGATATCCTTTTGGTGGTCGTGCAATCTTAGCAGAGAGTTTCATTTTATGATTTTGAAAATTTTGAGTGTCCCCCAAAACTAGGGGATTTTGGGGGAACTCAACGTTTTTAGATATAAGCCCCTTCAAATGACACTACATTTTGAAATGTTTACAAAAACAAAAAAAAAATGGTGACAATCGGATTTCACCTATCTCTTTTCTATTCATAATGGTAGCCCATCAAATGTACTGAAGTCTACACAATGAAAAGAAAAATCAATGTAATGGTAGTATTGGTTATGATTTTGGATAGATAAAAGATAGCGAACTCTGGGTGTTAACATTCTTGAAGTCTTTGTAAACACTTCAAAATGAGATGTCACTTGAAGGTGGTTTACATTTAAGACTATGCTGCCCCCAAAATCTCCCTTTTTTGGGGAACACTCAAAGATTTTAAAATAAAAAATGAAACTTCCTGCTAAAATTGCACCACCTCCAAAAGGATTTCTCTGTACATTTACTTGGACCATCATTAGATGGGGGTCATGACCTTTTATTCACCCTGCATAGTAAGTTGTGCGGCGGCTACCGGTTATAACACTCTGTAATAAAATTATAAGACCATAAGTAGCATGATCAAATTAAATAGTGAAATTTTTGTATGGTTTTTGTACAGTTTATTTACTAGGCCATTGGTATTTAGGTGGGAAAATAGACACTCTTCAGAGATTTGCTGACCTTTGCTTAATATAAAGTTATTGTAACTGCAAAAAATTGTATCCCCAATTATTCGTACGCCGTTTTAGCAATTTGTGGGAACAAATTACCATCGCATGACAAATGCAAGAGGAGATCGGCTGCAGTTTTGTGTAGAACTAGAATTCTAAGCTGTAGACAGAAAGTCTAAAACAAAGTTTCATCCGTAAGAATGGAAAACTTCCCTCTGATGTCGCGTTGAAAAGAGTCAACCTCGCAGTAAAACGGGTTCTCCACGGGGTCATTGCGAAACGTGCCTTAGACAAATCTTACTTTTGCGTTTACTCGCCAGGATTTTATGACTACCTTAGGTTTTCTTTTATTACTTACAATGTTTGTAGGGTTTCTGCTATGCTAACTATTCTTGATCATTTTAAATGTGCTACCGTATTTCATGTTGTTACGTAGTCCCCTTATACATAGTATATGGAGAAAAAATGGTTCCGGTTAAAATTTTTTAGTTCGAGTGTAAATATCCTTGTTGGACCCCCCTGAAAAATGGTTGTTAAATTGATTTGTATGTGGGTACATGGAATCTCTAGTATTTTTTTTTTAATTTTTCTAAACTTGTATTCTTTAATAGGAAATGTCCTATAAATATCCATAAGATAGTCTCAGATCTTCTTAAAAAGGACCAGAACGATTTTCATTAAATTTTATTGTGTTATATCCCTTGTAATTCATACTAGTAAGTTGAATGAAAAGAAAAAGAATTACAAAATTCCACAAAACTACTCAAAACTACACAAAACTACAAAACATCTACGAATTCGCCATTTCCAATAGGGAAATTCCACATACAATACAATGGAAGGAAGACAATTCAAAGAGAGGAGATTAGATTACGTTAACGATATGTCTGATTGAGTAGAGAGGTACAAACAAACCTGTGACGTCACGAAGACGACGCTCAAGAGTACATACATAACTCGGTCGAGGATGTGCACTGAATACGTCACCTGCCTCACGAAAGAACATTGATTTTCATTGCTAATATTGTGGTGGAAATATTCAGTGTTTCATAATATTGATTTTCATAATTTGTTTTGTGCATGAGCTTTGCTAATATTTTGGTAGGATTATTCGAAGTTTTTGATCGATTTGAATTAAGAATGTTGTAAATGCAAGCATAGCGATGTTCATTAAAAACTTCAAGAGAAATTATAAAAAGTTATTTCTAGATATTAAAAATCTATCGATTGGTCAATCAAAGTGTCTATTAAATATTTTCTTCAATACACATAGATAGTATGAACAATCACGAAACAAAAATAGAAATACTATTCCGTGCAAAATTCAGTAGGAAAAATCCAATCATTGAGGATATTATAAAATATAATGCTAGGGTAGTAGTAAGATTTTTGTTCTGGGTAAGGTAGTCTTTGTGTCTGGTGACATAATTTTAACCGTCCGAATTAACTGAACGTTTTGAAATGGTTTGTTTTATAAATATTTGCAAATTAGCTAGGAAATATAAGAATGCTGTTAAATTTGAATGCACTAGCTGACCACTGTGAAGCATTCGCACTGAATCCTCCTCTAATCCCTTTTATTGAGGTATACAACATAGTTAATTCTGCGTAGTAAGTAGCATCGTTGATTAAAGTATAGGTTCTTACTCCAGGAATAGATGCGAGTTTGTATTTTCGATAACTAACCTTTACAAAATATAACGTTAACACATTTTTAGGGCTTATTTTAACAATATTTTTTTTTTTAATTAATTATATGGCCATATAAGATTTTTGTTTTGATGGCTTTTTTACACAGACATAGTTTTCACTGAAAAGGTGCATCCTTGAAAATGCCACACAAACTGAATGTGTAAAAACATAGTCTGGCACATGCAAGCCTTCCTTCGTTAGCGTCTGTATTGCGCCTTATTTAAAGTCATGGCA